ACTTAGTTTTCACGTTTACTGCCTGCAGTTACATTTCGTGGAAATAGTTGACTGCATGAGACAAAGCTTCAGGTAACTTTTCATTACGCACGAGAGTTGAACAGACGCATAGAAGTGTTTATGTGTTAACGAGGTTTCGCAATTAGGATGCTGCCATTCTCAGGCGCTCTCCCTTGTAGTGCTACAAATTGCTTTACACGATTACAGTGATAAAGCCAAGTAGAAATATTGCTTCTTATTGCATGACAAATGAGTATCATTTTAATTAACTATCTTGAACAGATTCTTGTTGCATTGAAAGGGTCCGGAGTGTGTCCCACCCACACCCAGAGATAGAGCGAGAATTCATCGTGAAGAACATTTGTGGATTATTTCAGTAAGTAACAGACTCGATGCATTTGAGGTTCTCACGGCAGGAACTGTGAAGAATACGGCCTTCTGTAGTGTAGCGTGATGCAGTTCGGAGACAGCACAACGTTTCGGAAGAATATATCGTCCCATCTTCAGGATCGAAGAGCAAGCCAAGCAAGAATCCAGAAGAAGCAGCCAAAAAAGATGAGCTCAGCATGGCACCTGTTTGTGCTGGTTTCTGCTACTCTCACCTTAGCTCACTCTCCCATGGAAGCTCCTTCCATTTGCTTATTACTTAGGTAAGTCCATGGAGCTGAGTCCTTGAGAAGCCACCAGTTGCTCAGCTACTCAAGAATGTCCGAACATTTTATGGAACCCAAAGGTTCATTGCCGTATTTACAAAAGTCCGCAACTGGTCCCCATCCTGGGCGAGATAATTCCAGTCCATGCCAACCCCCAACTTCTCTAAAATACATTTTACTATAATCATTTTACCTACGGCCGGCGCTTAGAGCTGACAACATTACCGCCATCTGTGAGCCAATTTTCTAGAAAATGTGGGAGCCTCGACATCTCACAATCCTATGGGCCTTCACGGCCTGTTACAGTGACAGCTTTACCTTATGTTATTAGACAGATACCGTGCATGAAAATAAGTCGGTGAAGAAACACTGAACTAAATTTAGGGTCAATTTCGAAATGATGCAATGTCGCAATTAATTTTTGTCGTCAGTTTTATCAAATAATCTGAAAGAAATATGCGAGGAATGCCGTCGGTCCTGCGCAGAAAGAAAAAAGAAACAGTGTATTTTTAGATCCGTACGGCGAAACTCCACTGAAGCATCTATAGTATAAAGTGTCAGTCTGCCCAATCGAGTGATGGCAAAGATACGACTAAGCTTAGTTGGGTCGGAATCCCTCTCTTACCAAAGGGGGCATTGCATTTCTACCAAGAAGAGTGCGGTGTTTAGCCCGTGGTCACAGGGGTGAGCAATGCCTTTGCTTAAAATGTTCTTATTAACGAAAAATGATCCTATAGTTACTAAAAAGCGTTACTTTGTAGCATAAAAATAAACTTTTTAAACGTGAACATTGGAACAACACATTTCCTCTTTTTTTCTGAAATATAGGCACTGGGGATATTCATTTTATTCAGTTATGGCCCCATCTGTTCAGACTGTCATAAACCGCCACTGCTCTGGCCTCCATGAAAAGAGCAAGCCCAATTAATCATATTTCTGGAAAGCGCATCTCCGGAAGTTGTCTCATCTTTGAACGCAACCGCGTGTGACCACCATACACAAAAGAAAAGCATAGGGAATTGTGGGTTTTTGTCGTACAGTGGAACAAGAGGCAAAATTAAGTTTTCTATTATAATTCCACGCCATTCACAGCACTACAGTCATGAGACTACACTCGACAGACATTCGTCAATTCAACAATGTAATTCAAACTCCGTGGGTATCTGCGTATGGCGCTGGCGCATTGAGGCAGTGGGTGACTGGCCTTGTGACGTCGTGTCACGTGGTTCCCACATTGATCTTGTATACAATCGTGCATGATTGGTGTGCGAGTGAGTCGCTGTCAAAACAGTCAAAACGTCTTTTTGCTAGAGAAGGAGGATCTCGTTGCGATACGACAGTGGACACACAGCTATATTGTGAGTGGGTGATTCAGTTAAGTTCTGGAAGAAACTGGAAGATATACACATGGGGAGGTTTGTAAAGCAGATGTGTGAATGCTGTTTTATATGGTAAACATGGCGAAATATGCAGGGTGACTCCAGTACCCTGAGACGTGTGAGGACGAAACTAGCTCGTCTGGGAGATAGATTGAGAAGAGACGAAGAGCAGGAAGGCGGAGACTACCAGGTGCTGGATAATGAGCGCGACCAGATGTCTGCCAACCGTGCAGGTGTCCCCAGACATTTGCTGCGCCACATCCTCTACCGAGGTGGCTGTGCATCAACAACAGGTGCTGATGGCGATGGTGATAGTTGTGGTGATTCCGACACTGAACCTGACAGTAACAACAAACCTAGTCGTTTCCCACATTTGTCACGTAGTTCCGATACGGAATATCAACAGATTTCGGACGAGGACAATTCTGAAGATGAATCCATTTCTAAAGCAAGGACGGAAGGGCCATCACCACAGCTTCCACCGAGGGCGTTGCGAACATGTGGTATTCGTAGACCGTTCTTGCCACCGAGAGCGGCAACTTTGGCTGAATGCCAGAGTCCACCGCCTTTGCTTGTGGAGGAAGGACCAAGTTCAGCAGCAGATGCTCCGTTACCTGAAGGAGGTATTCTTGAAAAATTGGGCCAGAGACTCAAGGAAAGGAGTGACAGAGTTCACAGGGTAAACATCACTTAAGCCTTGCTCTGTATATCATGCCCGATGCAAACTGGTGTCAGAGAATGTGAAGCTGTGAAGATTAAGTAGGAAGTTGTTTTAGTATATCTAGAACATCGATATTGCATTTTCATTTAGTTATCAAGTTCCAATTTCCCCGGAAAAAATCGATCTCATCTTTCCTGATATCTGATTTCAGTTTCTTATGGTTTTCTGCCCCCTCAGGCGTGTCCCCCCTCCTGCCAGTACATACAGTTACGCTTGTCAGTGAATGAAAAGCATGCATAACGTTAAAGTGGCCTAAATAATACAGGAGCTGAATTCAACAGTGATTTCAAAATCCTCTTCCAAAAGCATTAAAAGCAGAACTCACAAAAATCATCAGCATATTGTTTATACTGTTGAAGTTGGCTTGTCAGTTTACTGTTCACTCATTTTTTTATATTAATATGTTCTGTTTGGTTTATGACTGTGCGTTGCCATACACCAGATCTTTTAGAGTACCATTATATTGCATAAACTCCATTTTCATTCAATTCATTTTACAATGATGTACCATCAATATTTCAGCATGGTAAGATCTACTGTTTTCTTAACATTTGCATTTTTGCCACTGTAGGCTATCTTGAGTAACTACAATATGGTTATATATATACATTAACAAGTACTTTTTCAGCGTTCTTTTAAGCTTTCATGTAATATGGTGTAATTGCTTATTTTACATAATGTTTAAAATCACTGTGCAGCAATAGACAAATGTGTATGTATATAGTGAGATACTGACTACTAGCAGAATGGAAAAGCCTTTGGCCCAACAAATTGCAAATAAGGCTGTTTATAGAGACACTGAAAAATGTTTCTGTTGTCAGTAGAAGATTCACACCTAGCAATAATTTCATCCTTGGTGGAGGAAATAGGGGGACAATCAAATGGTCAAGTGCTGACCGAAGAAAAATTGTGTAAAACTGATACCAGACTTCAACATGCTCCTCAGAAATCTATCAGATGCCTTGCACAGGAGATGGGGTTTCAAGTTTTAAGTGTACTGTATTTCCAAAAACTAACTTCAATTCATGGAAGTGCCAGGAATGCCTTCATAACAACAAAGAGTATTTCTGTCCTCAGCTGTAATCAGGGTAAATTTTGTTTGCAATTTGTTAGACCATAGGCTTGTCAACTCTGCCAGTAGTCTTGTATAGTCCAACTAGATGGGAGGAAGTTTCTGCTTTAGTGGCTCAGCAATTTATGGAATGTTTAAGGTGAGGACACTGTATATTTAGAGGTATAGAGATGGGACCCGGAACGTGTTCAGAATCAAGTAATGGTGATACACGCTTGTTTATTTATTTATGGTTTATTTAATGGTGGAGATCCCTATGCTGGTGTCATTAAATAACCTAGGAAAGAAATGCTGTCAGTAGCTGATAATATAGTGTTGAATGGCAAGATGAGTGGTTATTGATAGGCAGGAAAGAATGTGGACAGAAGGGGTACAATTGTAACGTTCACATGGAGGAACTGTGAGAAAGTGATTAGTGTTGATGTTATGTCATTGTAATATAAGGATATAGATATGTCTAAAGTATAGCAAAACTGCTGTGATTACTATTCATTGAATAATTAGTTTTCAAAAGTTTGTAATATTTCAAAGGAGTGAGAGGAGAAAGATTTTTTTTTTCGCATGTGTAATAGGTAAAGAAGACACAGTAGAGATCTGAAGAGTTCTCTCTTTGAGAATATAGTGTGTGCAGTCGGTTGAAAGTCAATCTACGTTTTGGAGAAACATGTCTCCTATATTTTCAGGCTTTCAGGATAAACCAAACAAGAAACCGATAAGAACCAGCTCCACTTCCAACCTGCTTCTTTCTGGTTTCTTGCTTGACTTATTATTTGACTCTGAAGTCGGAGGCAGCAAGTTCCTCCAAAACACTGACTTTCAGCGGACTACATTACATTATATCCCAGAAGATAAACCTCTGTAACCGCTATTGTGAGAACCTCAACTGTTACATGATAAAGGTTTTGCCTTCCATTCTGCCTCACCATGTAGCCTTATCAGAAGTGGCCAAATGGCTGTCTGACCTCAAATGTAACAGTGTTTCTTTTGGTAGGTATTTTAAGCATGTATTTATAATTTAAAAAAGACTTAAAATCTATCCCCTCTCTCTTTGTCTTATCGCAATACTGTATGCTTCTTTTTGAAAAGACAAAAATATTCAGGAGTTTTATTAACACTAAAAGCTGTAGTGAGTTATTAATATATCAGATGATGTTAAGACAGTAATTTCTTTCCAGTATTTCCAACGCAATACAAAACTATGTGATGTAAACCGGAGACTGAAGAGTCAGATATGGAGTTCGGTAGTCACCATTGTGCTAGTGGAAGGAAAGAACCTGCTTCCTATGGACATCGATGGTTTCAGTGATCCATATGCCAAGTTTAGGTATGCAGTCTTTAATGTAAAATATGTTTTAATATATGGTAGTGTTTACTTGTTTCTCATCTGGAAACTGATAGATGCTTAACAGCACTCATGCATATAGGATTGTGAGTATACTTATTTGTGAGGGGGTTAAGTGATTCATGAGACAGGTGGTATGGCAAACTTGTAAACTTATGGAAGGCCCATGTTAAACCTCTTAAAATATTGCAGCATGATGGGCCATGCCTAGACAGCTTATTATTGGCATAAAGAAGCACAGTGTTACAGGTGATCACATAAACCCTGCTGTCATTTTGGACATCTTTCCAGTTTTTTTTAAGGTTCTTGTGTAATCCTGTTACAGCTCATCTGGACAGTGTTTCTTTTATATTTCATCTGTATTACGTGAAGTCTGTTATTTGTGGAATTTGTGGTTCTCTCTTAATTTCTTCATTTCTTTTGAAGTCCACAATGGTGTATCCTGCAGGTCTGCTTATAAAATGCATTTCTGCTGGTACCACTCTTCTCTCATCCATTCTTACTATCCATGTTTCATTATCAAAGATAGTGTTGGCCATGCAAGAGATTTGTGTTTTTATATTCCTAGGAACTAATGATGTCTTGAAAATATGACTTGTAATTGGTATTCTGACAAAATTTACAATTTTTAGATTCAAATGCTTTTTCTCTTTTTAGGATATATTACATCCCAATAATTAAAAGTATTAATTTGTTCCACTAATTTGCATAATGTAGACATAGTTTATGTATGTATAGCTAGTCTGTGATGTCACAATTAGAAGTGAATTTGCTTTACTGGTGTTCCCTTGATTTTGAATTGAAGATATTAGTAAATTTTACAGACAGTGTTATCTTTAGTCTGTCTGCACATCCGTTCTCTAGAAAGTACTTATGTTTTCCTCAAATATTTAATTCACTCTTCCTTGTTCTTATACAGTGATCTACATTCTTATGATCCTTACATAGTGATTTGAAGATTATTCTTAAAAAGGAAGGACAAATATGCAGATCAAAGTGCAGTATAAGTTAATGAAATAAGTAAAATATCTAACAGAATTGTTACTTTTGCTGTAATAATGTGAATGATGAGGGGAAATGGAAAGTAAAGAACCTTTTAAATGTAATGTCATCTGTTGCACCTAACTCCTACTCACCAGCAATTTTGATATCAGTAAATAATTGAAGATGTAGGAAACAAGAGCTGTATTCACTGCTGGCATTAGATCACTCTGTAGTAGCTTAGAATATTTCCTTTACTTCAGATGAGGACATGTTTTCTAAATTGGAAGTACCGGTATCTTTGTGTAGTCAGGCAGCATGAAGTGGACTCTCCACTATTTTGGAAGAGAAATGCAATTGCTTATTGTATAAGTCTCTAGTCAAGTATTCGGCCATGTTTATACCTTTCATAATTAATTATATATTCTTATTTGGAATGGCTATTGAGATAAGACATGATAGGATTAAGGCACTCACAGCATGACTTCTGTTGGAAACGTTGCAGCATATGGTTAGTTAGGTCAGACAGCGTGTTAGGAGGCTAGGTACAACCCTGCAAAAATTGTTGCTTCATATCCTTTACAAAGAGGACGCATTTTTATGAAGGTTACAGTGGAAAATCTTCCAGATTAATTGTAATGCATACTCTGGTGGCACACTGAGGGGAAAATCTTCCAGATTAATTGTAATGAATACTCTGGTGGCACACTGAGAAGAGCAAGAATATGAGAACATTTTGTGATTTGGTGTTTCAGATTGGGAAATGAAAAGTACAAGAGTAAGGTTGTATATAAGAGTTTGAGTCCCAGCTGGCTGGAACAGTTTGACTTGCACCTGTATGATGATCAGTCACAAGAGTTGGAAGTTACGATTTGGGACAAAGATAGGTCCAGAGATGATTTTATGGGCAGGTAAACCTGGGTGCTTTGTTAGTATGAGTGGTTATGACAAATACAGGGATGTATAGGTATCTGTAATTAGTTTCCTATGCATTTAAGCATACACAGTTATACTGAGACCACAGGAAGAAGATCCAAGGATGGTTGGTATGATAGTACTGAGCATCTCCCCTTTCTCCCTGTTGCTGTGTTCCCCTGTAGTGTGCTGTGCCTATTATCAACCACCCAAAAGTATCTGTTGAAAGCAAAGGTTATCACTGCCAACATTATTTTATACAGAAAGGCTCAACTAGCATTTTCCAAGAGTGGAGCCCCCCCTCCCCCCCAGGATACTGTAAAGCTTTTTCTGAGGCCACCAAGAAATGTGCCAACAGCAAAGATGCTGAATTGAATTTAACCCTGAAAGGCCATATTAAATTACAAACATTGAGTAGTTTACAGACATCATTAAGGTTCATAATTGATTGTATATCAGTTCAGTTTGGGTTCATGTAAATTGCTGCTGGCCCTCTTTTCCTGGGTCACACAGGACTCGTGGCCATATTTTTTTTGTCTCACAGTTCTGGGAGTCATGCAGCTAACTTACTGTAATGTCACATTTTAAGTAATTTTTATATATTGGGAGGGACAAGGGAAGGCTCTTTTCTCTCTTCCCCCCCCCCCCTTAACAATCAAGGTACTCTCAGACTACAAGAGTTTGGGAACCGCTGAGTAAAGTGACATGGGGGAAATAAGGAAGTGTATTGGAGAGAGATGTCAAAGTGATGGAGCCATTGAATTTTCTTTCTCTGACCTCAGTATAAAACTTAGAATGTGATGTATAAGCTAAAGTACAGTGTGTGTGTATTGTGTGAAGATTATATAAACATATACTGTATCCATTTTTAGTGTCAGAATGCAGATGTTTGCATATTAGAATGGCATGTCTTTCAGTTATAACCCAATTGATTGTCAGTCAGGGTGGAAAGAATTTCTCAGAACTTTCCTCCAACACTTAATGGAGAGGTAGTTACATTTTAAACCAGTGGTTTGAGTCTTCACTGCATACTATAGCAAATAGCAGGGACTCAGGAACTCGGAATGTCTATAAAATTTATGCACCATAATGTGTGGAAAATGATACAGCAGTGTAATGTGGACATAAAGAGGTAAGGTACATCAGACTTTTTTAATATGTTGAATAAATCAATTAAGAAACTCCTAATAAGCAGCTGAAAAATTAAATGTTTCCTGATGTGCATAGTCATTCATCTTTGTTTAACTCATTGGTATAAGGTTCGATTTCATGTGTCTGAAAATTACCAAAAAACTTTGTATGGCCATAGTACAGTTGTTGTCAAAATATTTTCATGTGCACTTTTATGCTTTGTCTAAATAAAATGCTTTCAATTACATTCAGTGAAATTTCACAGTTGTTGAAGTAGCTCACATTACCAGAATGGGTGGATGTCATATAGAATCAAAGTATGTTAGAAAATGAAATAGATGACACTGTATCTAGCTAAGAAAGTTCAAATGTATATCCTTGACCAGTGCTTCTAGGAAGCAGAAAGTCATCTATAGTCAGAAGATTTCATGTTGTCTGGAGAGTTTATAAGCTAGAATCATACAAGTGAGAAACAGATAATCCATAGCACAGTAAAATCTTTTGAATATGATTTAGCATCATAATTGATTTACAGATGCATTATTGATTTATCTCATCTGGAACGAGAGAAGACTCATAGAATATGGCAAGACCTGGAAGAAGGAGCAGGCTCCATCTTTCTGTTGCTTACTATCAGCGGCACCACAGCGTCAGAGACAATTTCTGACTTGACAACTTATGAGGAGAATGTTCGTGAACGTGAAATATTAGAGAAACGTTATGTAAGTTGGTATTAATAAGAATTTGGCAATATGAAACAGTTAAACAAATTTTTTACGAAATAAATGTTAATAGTAAGTTATCTAATATTAATAGTAAAATTATTTTAAGTCAGTGTTGCTGTAGAATAAAATACCTTATGAGAGGGCAAGAAGTTAATGAAATAATCTCTAATGAACAGTACCTCCACCAATGTTCGTGTGTTGGACACATGCAAAGTTCTGGAGCAGGAATTATATTTTATTGCAGTGATAGTAAGAGGTTTGTAGAATCTGTTGCACTCGTAATGCTGTCCCTCATTTACTATACATTTTGCCAGCATTCATACTCTGTTCAAATATTTCTGGAGGCCACCATACGTGATATGCTACAACAGCCTTAAGAGCACACTAGAATATCTGCTGGATCCTTGAAGTTAATACCTTTGGCCAGTTTTTAATGTATGACAAGAGGCTACAGTTACATTGCAAGATTTGTGGGAATATGGTGGGTAGGGAAACACCACACTGATATTCTTGGTAGTTGCTGTGACAAATGTGTCAGGGCATTGGCATGCAAGGAAATCTTGTCCTCTGGCCACCCACATTTCTGATCACTTCAGAGGTGCATTGCCACCAATATAGATTGGTAAGTATATGTTGATACCTGTCCTTGACTGTAGTACCACAAAGAATGAACTCATGGTGCATAATGCCTTGCCAATTGAAAAAATAGTTCAGTATAACTTTCTGTTTTGAGAGATCTTGAGGGATTTCATGGCTCTTGGTGGCATTGGCAACTCCCACATTTAGAATTGTCATTTTCTTTGTGAATTTGACAGAAAACATCACATTTAACCATCTGTGACAATCCTTCAGAGATATCCAGATCATTACTTGCTGCTTTGACGAGCTCCCCACTTATCCTTGTGTGACCAGGGCATTTTTCTTGCATCAGAGTTTGTAATGTCATTAGTTGGCAGATGAAATGTGTCATCCGGATTCTTACTGAGGTTGGTGTGGCAAGCACTAAATGAAATTTAAAATTTCTCTGCGCTCACCTCAACCACTTGATGACAGTCACAAGTGCACAATGTAGCCTTGCATACATGGTTCATGTTTGTCTTGTTCTGCAGTGTCGCAAACCCGTTCACTGTGCAGGTTGTCTTCCAACAGATCACAGTTGTCTTTGAGTCTGTGATACATCAGTGTGTATGAACAGGGGCCAGGCTACATGCCACATTGTGGGTTGCTTCTGTCCTGGAAGTGTTTTAATATATCATTCAATTCCCTATTTATTTTAACCACTGTTTTATTAGATTGGGTATATTACAGATAATTAAAAAATATCTTTTGTATATATGTGTTACCAATAATTGCTTGATACAATGCTGTAATTCTGTATACTTGTATTCTGGAGGTACCAAGTTCAAATCTTGACTGAGGTAGTGGCTATCATGACAGATTTTTTTGTGAGTTTTCTCAATTTCTCTCAGTCCTTACCAATTCATAATTCATGTTTATCTTATTTTGTCACTTTATAATCCCTGCAGGTGAACTGGTATTGTTGATTTGTTAATTGATCAAAGAATCAACACCTGCTTGATATAAATTGTGAATTTTGTACTTTTTATGTACAAAATCATCAGAAAAATCTAGGAATATAATTAAAACTTTTCATAACTTTCATCATATACTGTACACCTCATACAATTGAGATTAATAAAAGGCCAAAATAAATTGTCTGCACTAATTTGTTACATCGCTGTTACATTGTACTTTTATTCAAGCTTTTTAGTTTTTGGCATATTACAACAATGCACTCACAGATACTTACTGTTATGTACATGGCTCAACTTGTGCGATTATGTAGCACATATGTAGAACGTTTAAACACTACATTAGTTTATTATAAGAGTGAACTTCCCTGCCTATGTAAATGGCTTTCTGTTGAACCTATCCCTGTTTATTATTCCAGGATAGGTCACCCTTTGTAGTAGGTTGATGTTACATGTGTGCACCTTCAACAGGGACATAAGCACTCCAGAAGAGTCACTTAAGGAGATTCCATTATGTTAGTATCCCATCTCCTTGCTGTGTGTTTATGTAGCCACAGTAGCAGTAATACGTACACACTTACCTTGTGTAGGCCTTCCTTCATACTCTCCATAACCTTCGGGATGTTGGTCACCTGACTGTGAAGGTGTTCCGAGCACAAGGACTAGCAGCAGCTGATCTGGGGGGCAAGTCGGATCCCTTCTGTGTATTGGAACTGGTGAATGCTCGCCTTCAGACCCAAACAGAATACAAGACCCTAACACCATCATGGCAGAAGATATTCACATTGTACGTTTGTTACTACACTTGGTTAATTTTGTGCCATGTCTGCACCAGTGTCAATGTTTTATCATGTTGCTTGATATCTCTAAAGCCGGTGTGTATGTGTTTGTTCTTTAGTGTTAAGTATTACATGTAAGCTGCATTAACTGCATAAATTTTAAAATCATGTTTTATCTCTTGCAGTGTTGTGCAATATTTTGAGTGTTACAGCCCAGTACATATGCTGTAGTGCTGGAATAAAACAATATTAGTATAGCCTAATTATATACACAACTTTGAATGAAATATGCAGTTTAACTTTCATTAGAACATTAATTAATTATTAAATTTTCTTATAAATGTACATCCTTACAGACAGTGAATGAAACATTTTTAAAGACCTCTAAAATGAGCATTATTACTGGGTTCCCCTAAGACAAAAGGCCACTTATGATATTTTGGGTAAGGCTTCAGCAGCTCAAATGCATTTACTTAACAATGATTCTGTGTTGGAAAGTGTGGCAAAGGCTCTCCTCCAACTGCTCTCTCTTCTCATAACATACAGTATCATCATTACTTGATGGAATATTATTTTGTTTGGATTATTTCAAGGTCATTATTGTAATACTGGTTAATAAATTTGTTACTTAAGTTTTCCTTGATGATATTAGCATGTATTATGAAGTTAGTACATTTTGAGGATGTGGGTTGGCATAGTAGTAACACTGTGAACTCATGTTTGTGAGGTGCTCAGTTCAGATCTCGGCCAGGAATCTGCATATCCCATCTGAGGGTTTTCATCGGTCCCTCCATGCAAATTCCAGGAAAGTATCTTGATTAGGCCATGACTGGTTCTTTCTAAATATTTTCCAATTTACAAGTCATTCCACTGTTTGACACTGTAAAGTTCAGACACTGACAATTTAATAAAATAACCTGCAAAGAAAAAGTGCAATTAATGTAAATGAAACCCTAGACCACAAAACAAACCACACTATTTTAGACATTTACAGTTCTAAACAGTTTATTATTTTCTTAATTTTAGGTGCATTAATTTAAGAACGATTTTCCTAGTTTCTTGGAATATACATACATACATACATACATACATACATACATACATAGATACATACATACATACATACATACATACATACATACATACATAGATACATAATTTCACAGATCCATTGTCCGGAAACCAGACCGGATATTGAATTTGTCAGCAAAATGACATTGCAGAATGCAATCTAGTCTCAATAATTAAAATATTCAAGAATTATAAAATGAAAAATACAATAATAAAATAAAAAGCAGTCATATAACAAATCTAGATAATACATAATCTTGGAAAGACAACAATAATGTATTATGCTTGCCTCTATGCCATGTATTCATCTACCGAATAAAATGCATTTAAAATAAGATAATCTTTTAGCCTTTGTTTAAAAGTATTAATATTGTCTTTCAAAGAATATATATTATATGGCAAGTTATTAAATATTCTAATGGATGAAAAATGCACACTCTTTTGAATGGAAGATAATCTCACAAAGGAAACATGTAGTTTATTATGCCACCTAGTACTTAATTTGTGTATGCCATTATTCACCTGATACATATCAGGATTTTTGAGTACAAACAAGACTATGGAATATATATATAACCAGGGGACAGTAAGTATGTAGATGTATTTTTCTTTTCCATAACCTTACCTTATAAAGTGTTAATTTTTCATCAGTCAAATGAGGCTAATAATTAATTCTTACATTACTGTAAAATATTTTTTCATATTGTTCATATGTATCTGGAGCCAGGATAGCATAGTCAGTATAAGGACTGGCTACGGACTGGACGACTGAATCGTTGGAATTCAAGTTCCTGTAGGGTCAAGAATTTTCTCTTCTCCATGTCATCCAGACCGGCTCTGGGGCCCACCCAACCTCCTGTTGAATGGGTACTGGGGGATTTTTCCCTGGTGGTAAAGCAGCAGGGGCATGAAGCTGACCACTCACCTCCGGCTAGTGCTGAGGTCAAGTTAACATGGATCAGTACATCCACTCTCCCATACATCTTCATGGCATAGTGCTTAATTAGTTAAGCACAGGGACAACTTTACCTTTTACTTTCATATGTATGTATGTTTGAATGTTCCCTAGATCCAGTTTGGATGGATGAAGAATGTATAACTATATACATTTTAACTGGAAAAAAATAGACTCTCTTCAGTCTCATTCATCTGAGTAACTGTATCATTGCTTAGTGCTACTTTCATGAAAATTCAAAGATCAATGAGTGGGCTTCAGCAAACATTTCTGCATCACCTTATTTTCAGTTGAATGTTTAAATAAATTAAGATACATACAGAAAATTGGGTAATATTATAAATTATTATGTAATTTATGTTTGGCAGCAATGTGAAGGATATCAACTCAGTTCTTGAGGTGACAGTGTATGATGAAGATAGAGATCACAAAGTGGAGTTCCTAGGAAAAGTGGCTATTCCGTTGTTGAGGATTCGTAATGGTGAAAAGAAGTGGTACTCCCTCAAAGATAAGAAGCTGCATGGCAGGGCAAAAGGCAATTGTCCACAGATACTGCTGGAAATGACTGTGCTTTGGAATCCTGTAAGTATTTACTTCATGCCTGTGGTATTCTTAATGAGTTGTGCAGTTCCATTTTGTTAGTGTTGCTTTATACAGCCAACATTAACACTCCAGCATACTTCCAATTATCCATATGTGGACCCTCCCCATTGTGTATATCTTACCTAATGATGACCAAATGTGGTCTGAAACATGCAGTGAACTAACACAAACAGATGGCCATTCCATAGCATAGGTGGCAGATCAGTGGTTTCCCACTCCAGCAACCTGAATTTTATCCCTAGTCTGGTCTTGTGGGATTTGTGGACAAAGTGGCACTGGTGCAGGTTTTCTCTGAGGTCATCAGTTCCCCTGCCAATTCTCATTCCACTGACTTTTGCATACTCTTCATTTTTGGTACAGTGGAGACAGCTGTGTCCTCTGTACCAAGTGGACACAGCCTCACCCCACTCATGCAGTTAAGAGAAACAGGTGTTTACAAAATAAAAATTTGTGTGGTAGTTAAAACTTCTGATTATTACTGAAATATTTGGCTACTAGATTATCCATTCCATCAACAAGCGGCGGTCTCTCGGTCCGTATAGTTCACTTGCAGACTGCAGGCCACGGAGTTTGTTTTGAGTGTTTGTGAAACCCTGTATTCTCTTATACAGAAGTACCAAGCTTTTATACCTCTCTGTCTCACTTTCTTGTGTGTTCCAGTTGTCATGTTTTTATTGTTCATTTCCATCCATCATATGCAGCAAATTAGAGAGGGAATTAAAGACAAAATGTTCTTCTCTTCTCCCATCATAGTATACTGTCACTAAATTTATGATCATGACACCAGCATCAGTAATGTGTGATTCAGCACATGTGAGTTAAAAACTGCGATGTATCCAGTGTTTTGAGTATTCGTGATTCTCGTGTACTTCGTTTGCCAGATAATCCAGATCCTATGCAGGCAAACCTTTGCTTAAAAGCTTTCAAGAAACAAACAATTTGCATTTACAAACATTGTACAGACTAATCAGTTGGCACTTCCAGTTCATTCAGTGAACACAGAACCCTGTGATTATGAACATTTTAACAAATTAACATTAACAAATTAAACGATGTATCTTATGGAAAAAAATAAATTCATCATATGAACATTCAACTTATGTACACATTTCAAAGAACACATTATGTTCATATTTTGTATTTGTATTTTATTTTCATCCGTTTTTGCTACATAGTAATACTTGGTGTTTGCCTGTATGTTAATTTTAGGACATGAAATAGTGTGAAAACAGTATATTGTACTTACGTGAAATGCATATTGCTGTGAACTATTGACTGCACTGTTGATAAAAGAGATTATATATTGTTTAATAGTAGGATTAGTGAATAATGAATTGTAAAGGTTTTGGAAAGAAGGGGCTTTGACCAATACATTTTTTATGTAACTTGTTCTTTGCAACAGGCAAGCAAGATTTCAACAATTACATGCTCTCAGAATGCTGATGAAATTACACAGAAATGGCATAAACTATAAGAATTCCTACAGTAGTAAGAAAGCAGATATGGAAACTGTCCAGTGGAGAGTTAGTAGAAGCACTAAGTGTCCAGCTGTTTTTAGATTTATTCAAATTGGCATTCTCAGTATCAAATTATTTTAACAATAAATTCAGTTGTTTCTGTATGTTACTATGACACATTGCCATGCAAGTGTCAGAATGTGTGGGAAAGAATTTCTACAAATAACATGAAAATAACTCAATCAATACGAAGACACGCACACATCCAACATTACAACACTCGCAGCTAAGAAGGGAACACACATCACAAGACGCGGTTTACACAGAAAATAAGAAAAACGACCCTGTAGTGAACGTACACATGCAAGTTTTAATTAAGACAAATAAGGTGAATTATCTTAACAAGTTTTAGCGAGTGTAAATTTATCATAGTTGACAAATATGGACTTTTTAAATACTTTTTAAATGGTGTTGTGAAAACATATGAGGGCAAGCAATGCAATAGATTGATGTAATTGGGACACCTGATGATGGCACTATGTTGCCAAAACATGTTGTGAAGTGACAGGTGAAATTGAGTGCACTACAAGACGGCCGCTGTGTATACATATAATGAACATGAAAAGCATTGGCGTAACTTATTGAGATACTATATTTCTATGATTTTACAAGGTTTCAATAAGATTTCATTTTCTTTGTATTTTTCAGGTTTCCATTTCACAGTAAAACAGTTTGATTTTCTTACAGAAAAGAAAAAATATGGGTCTTGTTAGTTATATCATATAACAGCATAACTACAATTTTGAAAATCTGTATTTGTGTGATGTACAAATGCTTTTATGTGACTGCCTGCATTGAAATTGATTCACTCAACAGTAAGAACAATGCAGTTGATAAGAATATCAACAGTAACCAGCAGAAGCAAAGTCATCACCACCATCAATATTATTTTAGAAGAGAGTTCTCAGTCAGGGGTTTGTGAAATGATGAAGGCTGAAAATTTTTACATTTATTGTTCACTTTCAGTTTCAACTGCTGACTTACCATGTTTCCTTATTTTTCAGATTCGTGCCTCCATAAGGACATTGAATCCAAAAGAGGAGAAATATATGCAAACTGAAGTGAAGTTTAAACGCCAAGTGTTTGTAAGGAATGTACTGAGGCTAAAAGCTATTATTATGTTTTTTATTGATCTTGGAAAGTTTATTCAGTAAGTAAATGCTGTGTTTTATGTCATATTTTAAACAGTACGTATCCCACTAATTTCAAATTTTCAGAAGATACCTCGGAATTAAGACAGCAAGTGTCGCAAAAATATAAGAAGTGGTAGTCAGATTGAATTTTTCATTCCTTTGGCAATCCACATACATTTATTGTGTGTAGAGGATGTTTTCTGTTTAACAAAATGTTATAACTTAACAATTAATTTTAATTCAACATGAAGTATTAGTAATAGTCTTTATGTCCTTATACATGATCAATATTGATAATATTTCATTGTGGATAAAAATTGATTTGATTGAAATGGTCCACATAAAACTGGAAATGTTAAATGAGGAAGAGGGAGAAGCCTTATTGTTATTTTGAAGTGTGTATTTGTGATCTTATCACTGTAAAATTGCAGTGTTATGATTATGTCCATTGTTAAAGTACGTATATTTATAATGAGTGCTTGAAATGAAATTATTTTAGTAACTTTGCTTGTATGTTTCACTGCAGTAAATGTAGTTTCTAGAAAATAAAAAGGAAACGGTACTTCATGTGTTTAAAAATTGTATGGTTAACAAGTTATATAATATAATTCTCATGTTTGAAATAAATGGACTGAAACCTTTTCTGGCAATTTACCATGTCAGTACAAAATAAAATCCAACATTTCTTCATTTTGAGGAACTGGTGTGACAGTGACACAGACTGATTGATAACATGTTTCGATTGGTCTAATTGAACCAGATCTCCATTTGCCAGAAGCTGACGAGCAGTCAGTAGAGCCAGTTATCCAGCTTATTGTTAACCTACCCCGGATGTGATGTGGGTGAAGTTACTTGGCCTTGTTGAGAATTTTATTCCATATTGATGTCTCCTGAGAATACTTCATTGTACAGTGAAACCACCATTTAATGTTTCTTTGAAAACAGTGGATTTGAACGCTGAAGTGGAGAAAATATTAAATGGAGTTAATTTAGGACCAAGATTGTTGACTTGGGTTCATGGAGAATGAGTGTTAAGAGAAGATCTTACATTAAGGATCAATAAATGGGAGTTCCACTTTATGTACAAATTGTCAGAAAGTGTTTCAATGTTCAGAATATTTTGAAGTATGGGAGCATTCATATTGGTACATGTGTTTTATTTACAGGAGTTGCTTTGAATGGGAGTCCACACCTCGCAGTATCGTAGCATTTGTGATGTTCATAGTGCTGTGCTACTACTTTGAGCCATACATGATACCAATAGCACTGCTCCTTGTCTTCCTCAAATACTATGTAGTAAGTATTACTAATTTTTCATCAGTTGTGATACATGGAAAAAGCCAAATCAGTTTCTTCCTGTATAATGAGTATTGTTTAACAGCAGTATACAGCACCTCATTTTTTGCATGGTTTTATGTAACATTTTCAACAATTATTGACTGTATTGTTTTCCTGTAATAGACAGTGAAGGTTTTTTAAGTCTCTTTAGTTCTTTCTAGTATGAGCATTATATTATGAAGAACGTGGGTGAATGAATGGAGCATAGTGGATCAAAATTATTACTGGTATCCAAAAAGAAATTGGGGTCCTGAAATACAGAGGTCTTCATGCTGATGCTTCACTCATAACAATTACAGTTTGTAGAATAGTTAATTTGAGTCATATTAGCATATTTAGTAAAGTGACTGACCAATTGTTTGGTGGACAGATAGCTGAAGTTTGATTCTCTGCATGTCAGTGAGTTATTTTTTCACTCCCATATCGAAACCACTTTCTGGAACCATTCATCCTACTCTTCCATGGGTACTATGAGCTTTTTGTACCCACAAAATAAAGCAGCTTGAGCTCACTTCAGTCTAATTATGAGATTTGGCATGTATGGAACTTTGCATAAAAAACCCTTTATATCTCCGTTGAGTGGTGAAGTATGGTTAGGCATGAAGTTTTAACCTTTATCCTTTGGAGTAATAACTGGAGTAACTGTTGCAAGCATGCACATAAACATTTTTAGTATATGTAAGTGTGATTTGGGGTGGTTCCACACCTGATGCATATGCGCTTTCTGATTATTTTTGTGGGGGAGCCTTTGCCATATCAGCTTACCAGTAGATCATTTTGGGGTTGATCTTAAGATGTGATCTAATACATTCATTTTTCTTCTTTCTTTTGCCTTAAACTCGGTGATAAAAAGATGTAAATCCTCTGCTCCTCTTCTTGATTTTTTATTTATTTATTTACATTTATACATTCCGTTGATCCTTATGGTACAGCTGACCAGTGGATATGGATTTTGTCCCAAGCTAATAGATTAAAATACACAAAATACAAAAACTACATACATACTTTTGTCATTAAGACAGTTAAAAGATTTATATTAAAGTACAGTGCATAAAATGATCAAAATTATAAAACAATAATTGATACAAAATACTTAGGTAATGATATAAAATTATAACATATCAGGGGTACGATTACCAATTTTAATTACATACATGGTTAAAATATTCCTCTAAGGAATAAAAAGAATTTGAAAGAAAAAATCTTTTTAGCCTCAATTTAAATAGTTTCACATCATTACTCATACTCTTGATTCTGGATGGCAGGTGGTTATAAGCCTTGATACCAAAATAATATGGTCCTTTCTGAAAGATTGTTAGGCGTGATGTGGGAAGATGCAAATTTGTGGTATGTCTAGTATTGAGATTGTGGGTCTCATAGTTTGAACTGTATAGGTCTCTATTATTTACAACAAACAGAATTATAGAGTATATATACTGTGAGTACATTGGTAATATTTTTAGGTGTCAGATTTGATGGTGTCAGAAAGGTAGGATTCACATATTCAGTATCTGAAGATAAGAGTTGTGTGTGAAGAGTATGTAAATGAGTGAGCTTTTTTAGTAATGACACACTCTGGCATTAGAGAAAATTGAGGGCTTTCCCATCCTCATAGTTTTTTGTAATGTCACATAGTTCAGAGATCTGCTTAGGCTTCTCTGAAGTCAGGTCACTTTCATTTACTAGGAACATGGCTGTAAATAAAGATTTAATTTGTACACATAAAAATTAGAAGATAATAATTTTTTTAATTTGACATAATGACAGTATTATAAACAAGAATTTGATTTCTGTATATTAAAATGAAATTTGTAATAATTTTGTATTTATCATTATGATTGTGCATACTGTATTTTCAAGTAATAGTAATGAAAGTTATGAAGCTTATCATTATTGTTAAAGCTAATGTTTATGTACAAATTATGTGGCCTTTAGGTGCTTTCATACATTAGTGTTTTTTTGTTACACTTGTTTTTCACCTAAGGAATGAGGAGCAATAAAGTAAGAAATTAAATTCATGAATTTATGTATACAAAGAAACTATATATAAAAAATTGGGCCTAAAAATATACCACATGTAAATATTTAACACACACCACACTAGGATATGACTACAGAAATTGTTACAATTTGAGACCTGTTATTCGTTATTGGAAATGTCACTGCCCACATGAAGTAGCTACATCCCAATCAATTTCTTTCTGAGACAGTATTCATAATCTGAAACCAAAAGAAATTGGAATTATAGTGTATGTATGAAGGGGGGACCCAAAAATAACCGGAAACGACCTGTTGTGCGCGCATGCTTTGTAGTTACGAGTTGTGCTGCTAGGTGGTGTTAGCTGGGGGTCTCCTGCGACTGTTAGTGAGCTGGCGTCAGTCTGAGTTAAGTGGTTTGTCTGTGGTGCTCTGTTGTGTGCGTTCCTGTTTCAACCCTTTGGTGATTAGTGAGATGGCCGACCAGAAGGAACAAAGAGTGTGCGTGAAATTTTGCTTTCTGTTAGGGAAAACTGCAGCCGAGACTGTTGGGATGCTTCGGCAAGCCTTTAATGATGATGCTTTGGGGAAATCACAGGTCTACGAGTGGTTTTCCCGTTTCAAATCTGGCAACATGTCAACAGAAGACATGCCACGCCCCGGGCGTCCTTCAACAGGAAGAAATGACGAAAACATTGCCAAAATCAAACGTGCAATTGATGAAGATCGTCGAAAGACCATTGACCAACTTTCTGAGGAAACGAACATCTCATGGAGCACGGTCCAGCGAATTTTAACCGAAGGTTTGCACATGAGACGGGTGTCTGCAAAATTTGTTCCTCGCTTGCTCGGAGATGACCAAAGAGAAAACCGCGTGAATGTTTGCCGCGACTTGAAGAGTGAAGTGCAGTTTTCCCTAACAGAAAGCAAAATTTCACGCACACTCTTTGTTCCTTCTGGTCGGCCATCTCACTAATCGCCAAAGGGTTGAAACAGGAACGCACACAACAGAGCACCACAGACAAACCACTTAACTCAGACTGACGCCAGCTCACTAACAGTCGCGGGAGACCCCCAGCTAACACCACATAGCAGCACAACTCGTAACTACAAAGCATGCGCGCGCAACAGGTCGTTTCCGGTTATTTTTGGGTCCCCCCTCGTATTGGAAAACAAAATTGCAGTAGTTGTTGAACAGTGTGTGTGTATATTTAATGATTTGAAAAAGAGAGTACAGTTCAAGGACACTTCAAGAGAAGATTTCTGTTACAGTTCTGAATTTGTGCTTCTCTGGTAAACTCTGATTTAATTTAGAATATTTATTTCCTTGCCATAAAATCCCCCGATATTGAAAATGTTTGAACCAGTGCTGTGACAGAAGGACTTTGTATGAAGACTGCTGTCTTCTGGTATGTGATGCCATGTAATCTGTTAGAAATTTGCTGGCATTTTGGAGTAAGATACTGCCTCCATCTTCAGTGTCAAATAATAAGTTGAGCTAGCAGCAAACATACAGCTAGTTGTTGCTTGGCTTTCTCATGTAGCATGAAAAGGGAGGCATGTTTCTCTGAAATGTTGGTAAATTACCAAACTACATGGTGTCATATCCCAGGAGACAGTAGTACTCATAATGACCATCATGAGAACTTCATATTTGATTCAAGACTTGATTCATAATTTATCTCAAAAGATTTATTGTGACTAACATACTTCAGGAGACAGATGTTATTGGTTCTTACTTTTAGTCATGAATGTCAGCATCATCTCAATAATTACAGTTATGATGTGGGGGCATGCAGTAGCATAGTTGGTTGAGGCACTATGCTACAAGCGAGATGGTTGCAGATTCATTTCCTGATGAGGTCATTGAATTTTTCATTTGATCTAATCATTCCATCTGCCCTATGACCCTGGGGTTAACTCAGCCTCTAACAGAAATGAGTATTAGGAATCTTCTTGGGGTACAGGACAGCTGGCACATAAGACTGGCAGCCTCACTGCCATCTGTGCGCTAGTTGGCTAGAAAATATGGGAGCCTAAACACCTTAGAACCTTATGGATCTATACAACCTCTTACAAGGATAGCTTTACCTTTTATCTTACAGTGATTATGTACATGATTTTTTGATGTAACAGAATTCAATTACAGTACTAATTTTATATGAAAATTTTTCATGGTGACTGCTCCGTTTTATATGCGATTATCTTGAAAGTTCTTTGGGTAAATGGAATTCAACTGTTGTCAGAACAAATTTTTGGAAGATAACTTGACTTTAAATGTGCAAATATTTTCAATCAGACTGTATATCACCAAGCATACAGCTTGTGGTTTTTCCTAGAAGTGAAGTTAATTTATAATTCTTACCAAGGATAAAATATTAAAATAAGGTACTTAGTTTAATTACTGGATTTAATTGCATAATTTATACCTCTTTATATTTTTCACACACATATTTTCAAACAAATTTTTAAGAAAAAATGTATACCATGTTTTTGTCCCTGATAAAATTTTGAATAATTCTCATTTTTAATAGAAATTTTGACTCAAATGAAGTAGATTATAGCAACACGGTATGGGGACATTTACTCATATATTCTGTAAATATCATACATTGATGTAACTTTAATGAGGGGGATTTTTGTCTCAAGTGTTCATCAGTGAATTGTATGAAGGATTTTGTATGAACATTGTGTTCAAATTTAATTTCATTACCCGTGAATATTATGAATCAGTTGAAATTCTTTCAAGCTCCATTTTCAGGTCAGTGTCTGGCAAGAGATAACATTGTGAGATCCTTTGGGCCCAGATATTTGTATGGTGTTGCCACAGCATGGTCGCAGTTTCTGTAGAATCCATATACAGGGTGTCCCAGGAGGAATGGACCAAACTTCGGGAGGGTGTTCCTTATGTTAAAGTATGCCGATATAACCCAAAACACCTATGTCCAAAGTTGAATGGTTACGGAGATAATGGCCAGAGAAGTGTCAAACTTTGACCGGTGTTGCACACTTGTTGATTACAAAATACATATTAAAACTGGCAGGAATATGTGGATTCTGTAATGTTAATAATGTACGTAACATCAAACTAACTTGTGAATGACGTGAAGCCATAAAATTGAAGTACGAAATACTCGCTCGCCATGTCATAATTGTCCTTAGGGTTTCCAAGCACTATACATGACACATGACTGGCGAGCGATGACGTAATATGGCCGCGCTATAAGCCGACCACATAACTGTAAACGTACATTCACGGAAAATCTCTTTTGGAATTTCGTTTCCATTATCTCATGTGGATTATTATGGAACCACGTATGCACATTTCGTAAATTATTTACACCATCCAGGGTAAAAGACGCCTCATCACTGAATAAAATGACGCTTAACAGTTCGGGATGAACTTTTTATCCAGTGGCACAAATCCATACGCTGTGCATGGTCGCCTGGTTCCAGATGTTGTACCATTTGATCATGGTAAGAATAACTCTTCATGATGTAAAGTTTGCCACACCTGAATACGTGATACGCCGATGCGAGAGGCGATTCTACGAGTGATAAGACGCGGACTTCACTGAACAATATCAAGAATGTGCTCTCGTGTGTCTATCATTCGTACATCCTGCCTTTCAGAGTGCACAGAAACACTTGCAAGAGAACCAGTATCACGCAATGTCTGGTGAATTCGCGTAAATACACTTCGAGATGGAATCCTTCGATCGGGAAAACGCCTTTGGTATTCTTCAACAGCAGCACGTGCATTGCGACCGCAAAATCCACACACAAAATGCATATCACAATATTCCACGTGTGAAAACACAAGAGGCATTTCAGCAACTCATCACACAACTAATTTACCACCCATTCACGACCCCGCCGCAACGTAATCTGTAGGCTCTGTACGTATCGCATAAGCTTACAGCTAGTGTGACTCAGACACTCAAGGACAAACAGATAACAGTCACAGCTGACAGGTATAGCGCGTGGACCTGCAAGAAGACCACACTTTTCTCGGGCCATTATCTCCGTAACCGTTCAACTTTGGACATAGGTGTTTTGGGTTATATCGGCATACTTTAACATAATGAACACCCCCCCGAAGTTTGGTCCATTCCTCCTGGGACACTCTGTATATGAATTTCCATACTGTGTTGCTATACTGCTTGGAACTTTAATGGCATTTTCCACAAAAATTATGCATCAGTCAAAATTATATGAAGGGGCATTTTTGACAAAGTGTTCGTCAAGGAATCACATGGAGAATGTAAACATGAATAAGCATACTATGTTGATAAAATACTTTCAACTTTGATTGCATTATCTGTGAAAATTCATCAAAGAACTGCACGATGGAGTCTGCTGGTGAAAAATATTCTTGCTATGTCATCATACTGTATTCAACTGTAATTGCTTCTAATGTGTAAAATTATACTCTGAAAATCACAGTACCTGTATTTTCTGCACAACAGTTTTCAGACATTTTTTTGGGACAACAAAGTGTATAAAATTATGCAAGTAAATCCATTTACTTCTTACCATGTATATGTACAATATAATTGATGAAACTAAAATAATTTAACTTACATCACATATTTTAGACACTTCTGAAACTTAACAAATCTCTTGCGTGGCTTGTCCTCTTCTTTTGTTGTCATAATTGAATATCTTGGTTCTTTTCCTTACCTACTAACATTTATTTGTTTCACATAATATGATTTACTTCTGTTTTCATGGTGGCTAGCATTAATACTGTTTATTTCAAAATACTTCCAGCTCAGCTTGAAATATTGGCAGATCAAAAAAATTTGTGGTTTCAGGTGCATGTTTTATACAAGGATAGCATTTCCAACATTATTCACCATCTTATTTTCAATCTAAACAGTAAATGGAAAGTTGGAAAGGTAAGAAGTTTCACATTATGACCTCAAAATAAAATGACTTTATAGGCAAAAATGAGGTTCCTTTACAAAATTGTTGTATATTTTGTGCTCCTGTTTCTTATGTTAAATGAAGTTCATAGAACCATATGCAGTGAATTCTTGCTATGCCTGTTTCTGGAGACAGGATGTATGTGATAATTTAAATTTTCAAGGTAAATATCCTTAGTACACATGTTAATGAAATTAATACTAATTTTAAAGTTGTACTGATTCATATTTAGCAGGACATAAAGCATACAGAAATTCTGTGTATGCATATAATACACATCTTTACATTATCTTCATTAGTTGCATCCTGTTGTGTGCTACTGATATATATATATATATAAGAATTATGTCACCATCAACATAACAAATACAGTTTTATTTTCAATCTCATACTGCTACATGTTTTGGTCACATAAGACCATCATCAGGCAGTTGTACACAGGAATACGTTAGTCATTGAAAAATGCAGATATGGATCGTTATCAGTGCAATGAGTTGTGTACTGACATAAAACTCTTGCCTCAAGTTTATGTTATAATAAAGTAGCAAATACATAAAATAAGATGAAAGACAAATATAAGGGCACATCATATATCAAATTATAATATGTTGAAATGCTATGACGATATTAAAGGTATATTAAAAAGTATATAAAAAATGTGAAAGTTTCCAATGATAGGTTGAGAATTGTATGCCAACTTAAATATTTTAGGTTTCACTGCTACACTGTAGAAATTGGGCATGTATGTTGTTTGTAAGGTCTTACTGAAGAAACCTTTCTACGTAGTAAGCCCAGTTGTGAAGCCCAACAACTAGTTACGATAATGTACGGGTTGTAATGTATGGATATTAGCATGCTTTTCACATGATATGTATCTTTATATGATCATACAATATGGCGTATACATTCTGTGTGTTCTACACTGGTGGTTCGATGTAGATCTACATCTACATACAATCTACATCGAACCACCACACAATGTAGAACACACAGAATGTATACACCATATTGTATGATCATATAAATATACATTCCGTGTGAAAAGCATGCTAATATCCACACACTACAACCCGTACATTATCGTAACTAGTTGTTGGGCGTCACAACTGGGCTTACTACGTAGAAAGGTTTCTTCAGTAAGACCTTACAAACAACATACATGCCCAATTTCTACAGTGTAGCAGTGAAACCAAAAGTATTTAAGTTGGCATACAATTCTCAACCTATCATTGGAAACCTTTCACATTTTTTAACATTTTTAATATACCTTTGATATCTTTATAGCATTTCAACATATTATAATTTGATTTATGATGTGCCCTTATATTTGTCTTTCATCTTATTTTATATATTTGCTACTTTATTATAACATAAACTTGAGGCAAGAGTTTTATGTCAGTACACAACTCATTGCACTGATAAGGATCCATATCTGCATTTTTCAATGACTGTGTATTCCTGCGTACAACTGCCTGATGATGGTCTTATGTGACCGAAACATGTAGCAGTATAAGATCAAAAATAAAACTGTTTTTGTTGTGTTGGCAGTGATATAATTCTTGTGTGTGTGTGTGTATATATATATATATATATATATACACATACTTCTTTACATGCTTTCAGTTCATAACTCATTACATGTGAGGGAAATCATATTTATCTCATAAATTCGTGTGTGGCTAACCCATTGACTTGAAAGTGATATATCATGCTACATGCAAAAATCAGTTGTCTTTATGGAGAATCCAAGCCACTGGATTAATGATGATAAGCAGGAAGCCTATACAAATACCACTTCTTATAGAAAGTTGGTATTGAAAATCTGTAAGGAATTAAAGAGAAAGATACATAAAAATTCTCATAAATAATTTTCATCATCCTCTTATTCTGTAGAGAAAGTGTAGAATAAAAGACTACAGAGTAAATGAGTGAAGATAAACCACGTTTCAGTTAAGATAAAATAACTGTATAATGAAAATATGTAGAAGCAAATAAGAGCAAACAGTTTGTTCTTACTTGAGCCTATTTTGCTTTACCAAGAGACGTTATTAAGTAATCACTACATTTTGAAAGCACATTATCATCATTTATTCCAATGTATTTCATAAATGTGTTTGTTAAAAACATAATGTGACAATAATACATATCATTGCATAGGAATCATTATTTTCTTTTAATCATAACTCAGAAGAATGCACAGATAAAATTTAATGTTTCCATTACTTATCAGTGTCATAAAATTTGTCTGTTCCTGCACAATATTCAGGTTGGAAGAATATTCCAACTTTTATAAATCTATTGTTAGAGAATGGAAGGTCAAATTTTATGAGAAGTGCAGATATGTTCTCTGTAGCAGTTTGCCTCTACTGCCTCTGAGAAATTCCCTATTATGGAAGGTACATCATTGTGATCACAAAAGCTCCTGCTTTTTCCTGTTTTTTTTTTTTTTTTAACAACAGTATTTCTGTTAGCTGGAGTGTTAATTCCTCTTCTTATCTTCTTTTTGAAACTGTTCAGAGGACATTGTGCCTCATGCCAGAATAGTATATTTAGTAAGTTTGTTTTGTTTGAGTATAAAAATGGAAAATTTAAGGATAAAGATTTTTTTCTGAAAGTAAAAGGGGAAAAAAAATCAGTGGAAGTCCTATGAACATTTTGGAAACGATTTAATCTGTTCATGGTTATGTTTCTCCCAAAACAGTCACTCATTCAGATCAGGTTTCTGCAGCATATTAAAGTACAAAAAAGGATGAAAAGTATGTCTTACCATTTCCCATTCATGATGCACCTATTTTTTTCACAGGGAGGTGTTTCTTATAAATTACAGTCCCGACACTTATCAGCCAAAATTCAGATTTCCTACACTTGCTAGTTCTGATATTAATGTTTTGTACTGGCAGGTTTTATCTCTGACTGGTGGCTGGAGTGTTCATGATGAAGAAGAGGAACCCCTTGGGGATGAAGATGATGATGAGGAGGATAAGGATAAGGTACACGTTAGTTTCAGCCACTGCTTGAAGTGTCACTTTTGGTTCATTAATACTGAACAAGGCAAATATTGATGCTTAAGCTATTTCATTATGCTATTTGAACCTCACACTAATGAACAAGTAAGGATTTGGCAGGAGGCGGTGGTGGTCCAGTTCAAGGTACTATCCAAATGGTTTCACTTTGGAAGCTGAGAAAGACTTCAGGAAACCTCTGGATCACTAGTAAATAGTCAGGATTTTAACTGTATACCTCTCAAATACAAGTTATCTAGGGTGAGGGAAAAAATTGCTGCGCTGTATAGGGATTTGCTCACTGTATGGAATGCCAGAGTGCCATGACAGACTGAGCTGCTTGGCCATGTATAAAAAATGCCATGTCTAGAACCAATTCCACACTATTGAGAAAGCTGTTGACATACAGACCTGCTGCTAAGCAGTGGCTTTGTAAACAATGACCATTTTGGAGCAACAGCTCAGTAAACACATTCCCACGGCAACGAATATGCCCACAGCAACAGAATTACTGTTGGAAACAGGGTGTTTTCTATGTGATACATGCCAAGCTGTTACAACCAGGACAGTTGGAGCAATGGGTTCAGTTGTGAGTAGTATTAGCCAGCAGGCAATAGGGTGAGCACAGAAGTTGAAGAATTTCCATTGTTGAAACCTGTTACCAAGCAACAGCTAGGGAAGACTATAGAAGACAGGCTTAACATGTGCTGTAGTGATTTTAAAGTGTTGCAGGTCAGCAGTAGTGCTGTAATTGCTTGTAGTTCCGAGTCATGTGTATAAGTGGACAGTAAATCCATTCACCAAACCAATCCCTGTCTATAGTCACTTGTATTACTTGACATAAAGAACAGTTATGAAATGTTGTCATAAATAAATAAAGGATATGTTATTTCATGACAAATATATATTATGAAGAAAGCAGTCTTCTGGGATGTGGCACCGTGTAGATGTGGTGTTAACCTGTGTTTCAGAGGAATGAAATGATGGTTAACACCACATCTACATGGTGCCACATCCCAGAAGACTGCTTTCTTCATAGTCGCCGCTGTGGAAACCTCAAATCTTACACAATATATATTATGTTCACATTGGTTACTGTTATTATTTTTGCACTTTAAAATTATAATTTCTAATGTTACCATGTTCTTCTCTCTGAATAGAGCACGTCATGATGATACACCACACTAAAAAAATAACATTAGTGGCTGGCGGAAATATATCCTCCATATTACTGTCAGGTGGTCTAAAGTAAACATTGCAAAGTTCATCATAGAAACTGTCTTGTTTGTGTTACAAACATCATGGAGAACAGTATTATATTTAAGCATCCTGTTACACTCTACACAATATACGACACAAACTCCGTCCTAAGTGAAACAATTTATTGTAGTTCTTTCGTCTTCCTTCTACATTACATGTTTCGGCCGTAAATGGCCATCATCAGGTGTATACTCTCACGTAGCTGCTACACTGCACGTAGTTTAAAATTTAAAACCACCAGTCTTCCCAATTGTCCATTTCTCCATTGCTAACAGGTTTTGATATATCAGAATCAGCAGGGAGGAGTTTGTGTCGTATATCATGGAGAACTTCTGGATGCTGTGTTGTTATTTTGTGGACAGTGGTTTACACATTATTTATTTGGGGCTATAACTGTGACATTTAAGTAAATCAGAGCCATTAACCCTTCATATATGTAATGAACCTTTGGGAGCAATAAAGACCAAAAGAGCTGACGTGTTGATCTTACCCATCATTTCAAGATCATATTCTAAATGATTAAGTAAAATAAGATGCGAGTTTGACCCTATCATGGCTTAGGAACTCAAAAATGCCTCCCATTTTAAGATTCCTGCTCCTGGTCGAAGCACTTGAAAGTATCAGTGAAGTTTTCAAGCTTGCAGCATTGGGGTTCTATACCAGGCAGGAGCAAGTGATTTTTCCCTTCTTTTTCTTATGCATTGTATGAGAGACTTCCATGAAAGCTGTTGGGCAATTCTAATTTTCAAATTTCTAAAGACATACATGTTAAGAGATTTATTGTTTGGCTCTAGGCACCTGAACATCCTTCTACATCTTCAAATCAAAGCTGAGTATTTCTTGTTTCAATACTGTGTAGTAAATACATGAGAAATGAACTGTGAATATCCCACATTGTCTACAAAATCCACTGCTGATGTATTGCATATGGCTGAAATCAGATCTCTCCTCTTGTTATTAAGGACTGGAGTAACATAAAGATTTGCTGCACACAGTGCTTATTGCCACATTCACAGCTGTAATGTCAGGGGAGTGAAAGGGCATGGGCACAACGCATTGGGAGCATTAAGTGGAGAAAATAATTTATAGTGAATCCATTATATGGGGCACACGGTAGCATAGTTGGTTGAGGCACTATGCTACAAGCCAGAAGGTCGCAGGATTGAATCCTGATGAGGTGGATTTTTTTCAGTTTACCTAGTCCTTCCAGCCACATTATGGCCCTGGGGTCGACTCAGCCTCTAACAGAAATGAGTACCAGGAATATTCCTGGGGATAAATGGTGGCCAGTGCGTAAGGCTGACAACCTCACCCCCATCTGTGAGCCGATTGTGTAGAAAATGTGGGAGCCTCGACCTCTCATAACCCTATGGGCCTCCATGGCCTGTCACAGAGATAACTTTATCTTTTACCTTACCATTATATATATATAGTAAGAGACTTCTACAATTGTGCATGTTATTTTTCTCAGCTGATTTTGAATATATGAGCTTGTGGTTATAAAACAGATTTATCATTGTACACGTGTACTTTATATCTTATGGATTTTCTGACTGCTTTCAGCTCTGAGAGACAAGGACAGTGTATGAACTACCTTAGAAAATTTCTCTGCCTAGCAGTCTGTAGGAAATACCATAAAGAAAAATACACATAATTTAATCGACGCAAGTAAAGAAGTTGGTCTAGAAGTAAACACAGAGAAAACTAAGTATATGTTGCTGTCTCATCACCAAACTGCAGGGCAAAATCATGACATAAAGATAGGAAACAGATGTTTTGAAAATGTGGCACAGTTCATATATTTGGGAACAACAATAACAGATCGAAACCTGATTCAGGAGGAAATTAAGAGGCAATTGAACTCGGGTAATGCTTGCTACCATTCAGTCCAGAACCTTTTGTTTTCTCGTCTGCTGTCCAAAAACATAAAAATTAAAATATACAAAACTATAATTTTGCATGTGGTTATGTATGGGTGTGAAACTTGGTCTCTGACATTAAGGGAGGAACATAAACAGGGGTTAAACAATTAAATGCTCTTTTGAAAACCTTTAATTTAGACAATGTGGTAACTTTTCCTACCAGAATTAGCAGACATTCTAGTACTTCCATTGATACTGTGTTCGCTGACACCACTAGATTTAAGAATATTTTTGTATCGCCTTCACATAATGGATTGTCTGACCACGAAGGTCTAGCACTTACCATTGACCTTCCTTTTACATTAATAAGAAAATATCAGTCCTATTCATATAGGAAAATTAATACATACACTGTTGCTGACTTTT